TTTTACTTGATTAGTCTAGTTAAAATTGAGCTACTTAAAAATAGATAAATCTTTCTAAGGAAAACACTTTCTTATCAAAACACTTCTAAAGGAACGGTAATTAAAAAGATAAAACTGTTTCCTTAATAATGAAAACATTACTAAATGCTGATCTCTACTTTGCAATAATCAATCGAATTTGTGACAACCACAATGGAAGATGGGAGAAAAGGAGGGGAGAGGGAGGGGAGGGAGAGAAGTGAGAAGGGTCCGGAGGGTTGAATATTGGGAAGGGAAACACATGTCATACTTTATCCGCTCTCTTTCCCTGCATAATTTCAAAAAAAAAGACAGTTTCAATAAAATAAAGGGGTCATCTCCTTTGAGTTATGCGAACGTACTTAAAATCTGTAGGAGAAGGAAATAAGAAGAAAGATAAAAAATGTATATTTTCTTGAGACACTTACATAAGCATAGGAAGCACAAAGTTCACAGACGAAAAGCCATCAGCTGTTCCACGACGGCGCCAGTCAAGCACCATCATACTATAAAAATAGAACATCAAAACACAATTGTAAACGAAGTTTTCAAAGCCATAGAGATCGCAGTCCCTGGGGTTTAGGAAAAGATACTTAATGAAAAAAACTCACAAAGGCATTAATGTAAATGATATTGAAAATACTCCTAGCCATGCTGTGAATATGCCCATAGGGGTCAGTTCCATTTTCGAATCTGCAAGTAGTCAATGACTTTAGGAGTGGATTGCTGGTTAAACGATGAAGAGCATTGCAAATATCTTCCGAGATTAAGAAAAGCATAGCGAAACGATTGCAGTTTTCAAACAGCAGAAACATTTAATAGAAAGACAAGAACATTCTTTCATCTTAGTTTCTTTTATTTTTCAGTGATTCGTTATCTCTGAAGGTAGTGCAAATCAAGTACTGTTCTTTGACGCTGAGCTTTTGAAAAGGAGTTTAACGGTTTTAACAATTGAGAGATAAAACCAAAATTAACAAAATATGCAAAATGCGTTTCGTTACTCTCCTGAAGTCAAATTCTTGGATATACGAACACAAGGACTAATGAGAAAGAAGGAAGAAAATGAGTGGTAGATCCTAATAGATACAATCCAGAACGAAAAAGTTTATGCCATTCAGACAACGCTGTTGTCAAGATGAATCACATACTGAGAGCAAAGAAAAGTAAGAAGAGATGATTTCTTTTTTTGTGCAAGTCGCATGAATCATGGTGAATAATGTGCGCTGAAGATATAGCGTATAGAGCGATGTGAATTAAAATTGATTACCATTAAGGCTAAATCTGCTCAGTTGTCACACAAATACAGAAAAGATCATTCTCTATAATTCCGTCTTGAAAGACAGTTGTCAGTTATAGGAAAATGAGTCCTTAATTGTTTTAGTGTCATTTTTCGGTTAATAAGCCTCATTTGTTCCAGATTTGCTTCTTGTAAATCATCGGAAAACTTCCTCGAAATTCCAGAGAACATGAGACATCAAACCGCGATGCTTCACGAAAACACTGTACCTTTCTATGGCTGAACTGATTCCAGGGAGTCCGTTCCTATAACTGGAGAAGAGAACTCTAGCTCGGTCTCTGAGCGATATAACCAAATGCGTTGTCGCGCAAGCGACAAAGAAAGAAGAATTAGATTAAATGAAAAGCAATAGCAATGGTTGTATTTCCGATATTCAAAAATTTAGATTTAATCAACAAGGCCTGTACCTCTACGTTTTGAGGCTTTTAAACAGTTTTGAGGCGGAAAAATACTTTTTCTAGGTTGGAAATTTGACGTAGTAGAAGTCATTGCCATGTAAGACCGCTCAAAGTAACGTCGTCACAAACAAACAAATGTACAATGGAAATGGCAATCGACAGACTGTTCATGTTACTGTAAAATGGGAGTGATTGGTACAGTAAATAAGAGTTAGTCAATACAAAAGAAAGAACGTGAGTGAACCCAAGACCTTGAACGATGTTCAATGCCATTAGTCTAATGTCATTTGCTAAACTTATGTTCTTAAAGCATGAGTGATGTGATGAGATTTGTCACCCCAACTTTGGTACTAAACTAATGGAGCTATAGTCAATACTTCGCAAAATCTAACAACTCTTTACTTTACAAAAGGATTCAA